GGAGTATGATGAACCAATCTTAAAACATCTGCAGGATATTAAAGTTAAATTTTCTGAACCAGGACAGCCTATGGTGAGTAGTTACTTTTTTATAAGATGAAGTAGTGGCAAGGCAGCCATTCAAAATTGTTTCCCCCCTCCCTGTTTTGGAGGGAGTCTAAAGATGTAGGTATGCTACCAGTTATTGATTCCAGGTTTTATGATCTTCAGTTTTTCTTGCCCTTTTTTAGTCTTGTTACTACCTGAATTACATATGAATTGGTCAGAATCAGAATTGACATTGCTGCATTATTGGAAACTACCCTTTCAGATAAGGTTCTATCCAAGAGAATAATTGCACCATATTCTGGCATGGGAAACGAGCAGGAGAAAGGAGAGAGCAGGGAGTAGGCTTTGCCATTAGAAGCAGTGTGCTGTCTTTCTGTGAGAACCCCATTGCTGTGTCTGGTTGACTCATGATGCTTGGAGTGAATGGAACAGCTTCATCACATTGTTTAGTGTGTGTACCTACCCTTCAAGCTAGTGACAAAGGTAATGTTTTCAACCAACAGCTTGAAGAGATTGAGAGAGCTCACAGAAATGAGACTTATGGTACTTGGCAACCTCTGTTGTTGATGTTGTTTTAAGAATTGGGCTGGTATTTTGGGCAAACATGGAAATGGTAATATGAACAAAAACGGCCAGCGAGCATTAGAAATCTGCAAGCCCAAATCTGTGTGTTTACCAACAACTACTTTTGTTGAGAAAATCACAAGACGGACTTCGTGGAAACATCCAAGGTAGGGCACTGGCACCAATTAGATTTAGTACTGACCAGGTGCAACCACCTGAAAGAGATCCTGTACAAGTTGTCTTAACACAGTGGTGACTGTGACACTGACCATGCCTTACTCTGCTGCAAAGTTAGAATCAACATCAAGAAGATCCATCATTGCAAAACTACAAGTTGTCCTCAGAAAGACATGAGCAAAACTAAAGACAGAAAAATGCAGGCTATTTAATTAAGTTGTGAAATCAGGTTTGTCTAACAAGTCAGCCTCCAAGGCTTGGGAAAGCTTAAAACTTAACATGTACAATGCTGCTGTAACAATATTTGGGGAAAAATGCAGACTGGCTTGAAGAGGACTCTGAAACCTTTGTACCACAGATGGAGAACAAAAGGACAGTGCTAACCAACTATAGGAAATCTCCCAACACTAATCCTAGAAAATCTTGAGAAAGGATTGAAGAGAAGTACAAAAAGAGGCTAAGAGGTGTGCCCAAGATTTTTGGCTGAGACACTGATATTCAGGAAGCAGCTAATGCAGGTGATAGCCACGGAATGTACAAAGGCAGCAAATGAACAATTGGTCCAGTTGAGAAGAAAACAGCTCTGGCTAAAGAATTAAATGGAAATACCACCAGTGATAGATAAAAACAACTCGAGCATTGGGTTAAACACTATGGAAATGTATGCTCCAGAGAGACTGAAATCAAACTCACAGAACATGAAGAATTACTACAGTTTACAGTAATGATGGATTTGGACATTGAGCCTACATGAGAAGATTTGCAGAAAGACTATAAATGGATTCCTGGCACCAAAGCTTCCAGAAATGACAGTCTGCATGCTGAAATCCTACGAATGTGCCAACAGTGAGTTTTTTTCAAAAGCTCCATGAAGTTCTATTGCTCTGTTGGAAAGAGGAAGTGGTACCGCAGGACTTTTGAAGGTGATTGGGTTTTACAGTTGTACAGAACCAAAGAGGATATAAGCAACTCTGACAACTATAGAGGTACCCCCTGTTGAAATATTGTCATGAAAAGTGTCACTTGCATCATGTTTCTTAAGCTGCAATCTCTAGGTGAATGGCTTTCAGGATGGATTCTTTGACACTTTTGCTCAGGATGCTCTACCATTGATATAATATATTCGGTCAAGCGTAGAAAAAACAAATACCAATGAACGGAGTCTTCTTGATTGACACAGGCCTTTGATATGGTCAACAGATGGGGCCTTTTTACTGTTCTGAAGAAACTGTATCCCCCCTCTGTTTCCCTCCTCCAAACTGTTGAGCATCACTTACTCATTACATCAAGGTATGAAGGCAGCTATAGTATTATGAAAACAAGGAATCCAATGCCTCTGACATCAACAACAGGGTGAAACGGGTGCCTTAGCCTCTGTGCTCTTTACCCTCTGCCCTTCATTCCT